AATGTCAGAGACATTGAGAACTACAAGAAAAAGGCCAACCACTACGCGCATAGTAGAGGCAAACCACGCGGTATAATATTCAATCATCAATCCCGAACAAACAATTATATTACTAGCCATCCTTATTACCTCTCTTGCATCACATAAAACAAATGTCACATTTCACAATAAGATCACACAAGTATTAATATATATATATATATATATACATACACATTATATATATACATACACACAATACTAAAAACCAGTATCTCGATATATGAAAGGATATTTCAATGTTACCTCTTTCTAAGCTATAACTAACTCAGACGTGTAGGGAACTTCTTAACCACGATAATAGATTAATCTACGACATCGAATGATATAAATACCATTAGATATATATATATATATTGCAATTTATCAATTAAATATAAAATTCAACTAAACTTCTCAAATTTACAATCATATCCTTCCAATTTAAATCCCTCCAATAAAAACCCAAAATTAAATTAAATTAACTTATCTAAATCCCAAAAACATAATTTAATCAATATAGACATCGTATACACTAGAGATCACAAATTTTATAGTTAAAAACTTAATTTTAAACTCTCAAATCAATTAATAGAACAAATTTAAACCGATAGAATTTAAGTACTAATTTCTCTCTACTAATTAATAGTTTCCGTTGTTAAAAGTCAATACTTACACTAAGTTTAAACTTTAGAATTTGCTCCACTCATCAAAATTTTATTATCATTAGAAAGCTCTAGACGAGGAGGAAAATATTTATATAAGGAGTTTTGATAATAGAAATAGTTTTGAACATTAAATCTTACCTCAAAATCTCTTCAAATCCTTTGTTTTCTCCTTTCCTTCTCCTTCTCTCTCTATCTCTCTCTCTCTTTCTCTTGTGTACAATGAGCAAGGGAAAGCAACTTTGACCATTATATACTCCCTTTTCCACCGCCTCTCTTCTAATGTTATTATTATAACATATATATATATATATATATATTTTATTTTATTTACCTTATGCCACCGTCCGTCCTACTCATTTATTATTATTATTATTATTATTATTATAATAATATTATAACTTAACACTTAAGTTAACAAGCCTTAAACCCCCCTTTTAAAAAAAAAACATTTTAATATAAAATTATATTCTATGTTAAACTAAAAAAAAATCTTCTAATTAATTTCTTTATCTTCAAACATTCTTTCTATTTTTTTTAATTCTAATTAACTCTAAAAAATAAAGTAGAATGTTACAATTCATATCTCTAAACCTCCACTACTATTGACTGAATCCATGAGTTACACAATAATTAAGAGCTAAACCCGTGTGACCGGGATGGTTCAAGCTCGCCAATTATAAGGGGTGACCTGGCTAAGGCTTCGCACTCATTCTCAGAGTATGGATTTCCCCATCTTGAACACAGGGGTGTCATAAGACCGTATTACCAGCTTCACTAGTTGAGGTTTAAGGGTAAGCCCTATTACCAACTTCGCTAGTTGGGTTTAAGGGTAAGCCATATTACCCACCTTCACTGGGTGGGATTTAAGGGTAAAGTAATAGTCCAAACACCGAGACCTTGCGGTGTTAGTATGATTCACGTGAATACAAATCACTACTCCATAGAGGTAAGCTCCAGTCATCAATATGATCATGCAACTCATAACATGCTAATTCATCATATAGCATATTCAATATTATCATCATCCTTATAATGCATCAAGATCTGTCAAATTCTAAAGAATCTCAAATGATTATTTACCAATCCTTTGTCATTTCAAGATTCAATATTCAAATCATACCAAGCCCTACTTGCATATTTTCAAAACCAAAATCATAAACATTAACAGAGATAAATATGCATATAAAGCATAATTTCAAGTTTTACAAACATCCATAATTAATTTAATAGGCAATAACACACAATAGATTCCCTCAATTACCTCAAACCTTTGAAAACTCAAAGGTTATCCCAAATATCACTTGCTTCCGAGCTGAACTCAAGCTCTTTCGGTGCTTTATGAGGTTAGTCTACACATGACATTAACCATCATCATTAATAATTATCAAAATTCACACTTCCAACTTCTAATTTCATACTCTAACAACTAAACTTCCTAACCACAAGTTCAATCTCACAACCAGCAAGCTTATTAACTCCCATTAACTTCATTTAGTTCTCATTAACTCAAATAATTACTAATATACTTCTCAACAATCCAAAATCTTCTTTTAGAGGTCTAGGGTTCATCCAAAATGGATGATCCAAACTAATAACCTTGTAAAAACTTTTAAACTAGGTGTACAATATTTAAACAAATCCTATTAGTCTCATTTAAACCAATGGGTTTGGACCCATAGCCTTAGATTCGAAAATCACTATTATGCAACCCCAAAACAGGCTTCCAAAACATGTAGAGAGAAAAGTAAAGGAGGCATACCTCGGTAGAATCAAGCTCAAATCACCTCCTAAGTACTTAAATGATGTTGCCCTAATTGAGCTTCTCCTTCTCCCTGTTGCTCTCTCTCTCTCTCTTCTTTTTTTTCGCTTTGCATCTGATTTGAAAATTTGACCATCTATTGATGGCCAAGCCCACGTTTTGCCCTTTAATGGGCCTAAATCACTAATAGACCTGTTTCAACGGCTGAAAATGAATCCAATAATCCCATTAGCCATTTCTGACCATCCTCACATAAATTAATAATTGATTTTTATCTGATTAACCTTGATTAATCCATTTAGTCTAGGAATTAACATCTAGGATGTTACAAAATCTGTGTTTAGTAATTCTGTAATCCGATGTCCATATTGATGTGAGTTTCTTTGTTTCCTCTTGATACTCTTTAGGATAATGTAATGCACTATGCTAGACTCCAAGGCTTCATTAAGCATATAAAGTGGAAAGATATAGAGAGGGAAAAAGAACAAAAAAGGTGATTTTGTCAATGGGAAATATCCATGAGTGCATATTTTCAAAAATTAATACAAAATGACATATTGTAAAGTAATGATAACAAGGAGTAGACATTGTAAGAAACGTTGCTTCTACCTAAATGGGGCCCAAGATTTTCTTCTCAGGAACTTAAGGTGTGAATATGCCATTATTTGAAATACTTCTACCTAATGTAAAACATGACAGTGAATATGTACATTTGTACGTACAACAATGATTGAAGAATTAAATGGAAATTATTATTTGCACTATGTTTGGTGATTTTACAAATTGGAATTCGAATAGTTAAAAACTTCAATTAATTTTTCATTATATTTTCTCTTGCCTTGAATTGAGAAAGCTCCACAAGCACCTCATTTGCTCAACCTTCTGGCATATCATTGTCTCAAGGTAACATTTAGTTGGAACTGTTTCTCATGAAGATGATTTGCATCAGTTAGCATTCAAAGTAATGAATGTTGCGCATGATTTTGTTTCATTAGATCAAATGGAAGTATACATTGCTGACAGTGAGAGTAGTTCAATTCGAGCTGTTGATCTAAAGACTGGAGGATCAAGGTTGCTTGTTGGTGGTGACCCAATCTTCCCAGATAATTTGTTCAAGGTAATTTTAATAAAATTCATAAACCAATTGTCTTTGAGAGAGTTATTTTGACTCGTATTCTTAGAACTTCTTTTGCTTGATGAATCTTACATTTTAAATACTTCACAGTTTGGTGATCATGATGGAGTAGGCTCTGAAGTACTTCTTCAACATCCACTAGCAGTTTTGTGTGCTAAAGATGGCCAAATTTACATCACTGACAGCTACAATCATAAGGTAGTTAAGTGATGATGTGCATTCAATAGAGTTAATTGAACTTGTCTATATAATTTAAGCTGAAAAATTCTTAGGAAAGGACTTTTTCCTTGCTGAACATTTTCCAATTTTCTTTGCTAGAATTTTCAACAAATACTCTCTTCATCCTTACACATTGATTACACATTGTAAGGAATCAATGTTTTAGGCTCTTTCATGAGTATGAGCTAGTTTAAATGTCACATACCTAGAAAAACCTTTTTATGAGATCCCAAAAAGCTAGCAATGGCTTTCCCCACCTTACTTTTTAGGACATATTTATGATATATTTCTAAAATTCTTGCACAATTTCATATGGATAAAACTCAAGTACTGTTTTCAGATGTTATTATCAGGTTATCCAATAAAATGACATGGGATTTTTTTTCAGTTCAGCACCATATGTTAAGATCCTTGAAAAAGGAAAAAAGATATTCTGTGCTGTGTTTATTGGAAAACCTGATAGCAAATACTCACGAAACTTCACCTACGTTTGATTCTTTCAAATATTATGTTGTAGAAGTTTTGTTTTGAAAGATTAGATACATGCAACCCATATTTTAGCTTCAGTAATCTTATAGCTTGTTTGGTTATTGTTTTCATTTTTTGTTTTTAAAAATTGTTTTATAAAACAATTTTAAAAACTGTTTTTGAGAACAAACTAAAAAAAAAACTTGTTTGGTAATAGTAATTCAAAAACAGTTTTAGAATTTAAAAAACAAAAAAACTTGCTTGGCAAAATTAATACTAAAAATAAGTTCTAAAAACTAAAATACAATAAAACTCGCTTGATAGAAATTGTTTTGGCTGTTATTTTGCCTAGCAAAATTAATTTATATGTTGCTGCCAATAAAGTACAATTTTTTTTTGAAGCTCCCTACAGTTTACAAAATGAGTAATATTTATAAGAATATAAATTTTATTATATATTATTACTAACATATTTTACTGACGGTATAATTTTATAATTTGCTTGTGGGTGATAAATCAAAACAGCTAAATATACTAAAAAGAAAAAATAGAATTCATGAATTAAATTCAATTTGAAACTGACATTTACTCCAAAGACAATTAAAAAATAAAAGTAATATACATGACATAAGATAATAAAAAGTTCATGAGATAAATGGAATAATGTTTTGAAAACTATTACTTCAATCTTGTTTATCATAACACGATGTCCAATGTTGCCAAATCAGTTCAACTAATCTATTAGTTATGTTGTGCCCACATCCTATTTGCAAGATGATCTCTATACATTGCCATATCTGCTGCGCCTTGATCAGATAATCTCAACAAGATATTATCATTTGAGCTCGTTCCCCCTATCTCATGAGGAGCTTCATTCATAACATCTATCTCTATATCCTTTTCTTCCCAAATCCTAAACAAATCATCACACAAATTCCATTTGTGTATATAATTGTGAATTGTACAACATGCAATAACTATTAATCGCTGCCTAGTAGGTTTATATGGAGGCATCAACTTCAAAATAGGAAATCTGTTTTTTAGAACTCCAAAGCAACGCTCAATTGTCATTCTCAAAGATGAGTGCCTATAATTAAATAATTCCTCCCGACTTTTGGGCTGTCTAGCTTCGCCTCTATATTCTTGCGCATGATACCTTTCACCCTTATAAGGGGGAAGAAAACCTCCAGTGCATGGATAGCCAGAATCAACAAGATAGAAAAAATCTAAGTCAATATAAAATATGTTAAATTAAAATTTAAATATTTATTCAAAGCAAAACAAAATTATAATACTAGTGCTCACCTCTAGACGGCCAAGGAAAATGTGCATTTGGATTGGTAAGTGCATCCATAAAAACTTTTGCATCATGTGCACTTCTTTCCCATCCTAAATACACGTGTAAACATCATATTGAAATCACAAGCGCACATGACATTTTGCGTAACTGTTGACTTTCTACCTCGACATGAAATTTGCTTATCAGCAGGGACACATGCACTAATATGTGTGCCATCAATTGCACCCAAACAATTCTACAACAAAACCCAAACAAAAAAAATACATTACTTCTAACATATACATGATATTATATATGAAAAATTCCATACCTTAAACCAAGGATAGTATTTTCCATTGGTTTTAATTTTGTTGGGCAATTCCAAGGATTCTTGTTTTATCAACTCTTTTCCTAGTTGACATACTGCTCTTAACACTTCTTTGAAGCAATGAGAAATTGTTTCTGTTGAATGTTGGAAACGATCTGCAATAACTCTGTGACGAACATTATGACCAATTATGAATAAAAACATTGCAACTTTTCCTCTATAAGCACACCTCTTGAGTCTGTTAAGAAGCTCTTCCCCCTCAATTCATTACAAAAGTTAATAAAACATATCTTCTCCATTCGAAACAAGTCAAAGCAAGTTGTTTCAAATCCATTTGATACCTCAGCAACAAAGTCATGACCAGATAATGTAGATGTTCGAACCTTTGTTTTATTTAAAAAGTCCTTGTCATAATCATAAATCATATCAATTATCAATAACTCAGGCAAGTCATCATTACTTGATTCAGAAGCATATTCATCACTTTCCTTTGACATTTTATCAACATCCATTCTATTTATAACCTGTCATACAATTTTAAAAAGAACAAAATCAACTTTACAAACACATATAACACTATTCAATTTCAAATGATCATTCCTACACACCAACTAATTGATAATTGCATGGCTAGTTTTTCATATAAAAGGGGCATGTGTGTGTAAACATATAAGCTTGCAAGTTCTGAACCTAACATTTAAAGGGGAAAAAAGAAAAGAAAATGACAATACTTGCATGGGTAACACATAATCCGCATGACTATAGCCTATGGTACTATGTTACTAGAGATTCCTTCCTAATTGATCAACAAATATGTTTTTAAAGCATATCTAACCATTTCCTTTTCCCATCAACAGACATGGTAAGAAACATTTCCCTCCAATCATATTCCCTAAATTTTTCCAAAGCTTTGACAAATATGTCAGCTCAAATGCCTTCAATCTCCTCAAGAGCAATGACACATTTAGCTGCAGTATATTCAGAATTAGCCTCCACACTCTTACCACCCTTATATTTTTCTGCTCTTGCCTTAGAAGCTTCAGCCCATGCTGTAAGTGCTTCTGCCATTTGATATTTTCTAGACTCTTTCTTAGACTTGCTCTCTTTTGTTCGAATTATGCGTTTTCCACTTTGTGTGATATGCTCCACCTCTTGAATGTCATCATCTGAACTATCCTTATCATCTCTATGAACCCCACTGTTAAGATATTGATTTTCCAGTTCATTTTCTTCATCATTATTTGGTGGGTCTTAGGTAGAAGAGTGATAGAGTACTCCAGTTGCAGTACTTCTGTTGAATATGATTCCCAACAGCTTATAGTGGTCACATCCTTTCTTTCGAAATTGAGCAGCCTTTTCATGTGCCTAATGATCATGGAAAGAATCAGTAATTATTTTATTGGTGACATGTAACAAAGAAAATGTACTAACAGCAATAAGAGAACCCAAAATAATAGCTGAAACTTTTTAATCTTTCCACATAAATCTCACTCATGCTCGTACATGCTCATACACGTGTGAGAGTGTGTTAGCACATTAGCAGACATATGCATACACACAAACAAGCACATATGGTATGTGTATATTTCAGTTAGAAAAATTTGATTCCTGGATCTGTGTGGAGTGGGGGGCTGTGTGATTTAACATTTGTATTAAAATAGAAAGTGACAGTTGGAGAATGTAGAAGAGAGGTGTGAAGGAGAGAGCTGATTTGTTTGCTTGATTACCTGCTAGTTAATATAAAATATTGACAGATAGATTTGGGTAATTGATGATATTGAATGCCAAAAAAACTGCTGAGCTCAGCAGCACAGATGAAGGATCGAATACAGTACTAGTATTGAAAGAGAATGGGCAGAATATGATAATCACCAAGGAAGACAGGTTTTTTTTGTATGTCATAGATGAAATATAATTTTTATCGAATACTTGAATATAAATAGATGGCCCCTAAATCAATTAGTATTTCACAGAAATGATGTCTTTAAGATGTTGCTCTCTCTGTACAGAGCCCACTTTACTCTGTACGAGTCCATGCTAGCTAGTTAATTCTATTTGACACCTACAAGTCTGAGAGCAGATGGTACTATTCCATCAAATAATTGAGGGAATGAAATGGAATTATGGAAAGTTGCCTCCATTTTAACCAATATAATTCAGAAGCCAAGGAAGCTACCAGTCTCAACTATTTCAACTAGTTTAGTAAATATTGTGCATTTATATCAAGGAATCAATATAATTCCACACAGTAAAACCAACCAAACCCCGTGAGTGCCATTTCTTGCCTCAACAATAGAAGCCAAGTGTTGCCTCAACAATATGTGGCTAGGGGAAAAGGCAAAAACAAAGACATGTAAATAGGAATATGTATGACAGAACAGCCATAGATATAACTTCCTATACACAGCAACCTCCTCTGCAACAGCCATAGATACTCTACAGGTTTCTGTTTTAAAAAAAGTTAAAGCTAATACATCTGTTGAGCATATGTTAATGATTAAGATGGAACAAAACCCAAAGGTTTCTTGTCTTCAAGTCACAGCAAGCACCCAACAGATTCACACATATATAATAATTAAGAGCATTACATATATTGGAGTCGCCACTTGGAGGAGAGTGTAACATTTTTTATTTCAAATTATAAGATATTCTTCTAATTCTCTTGTAATGTTCACAGCAAGTCAAGATCACTGCAATTTACTAGCAGTTTTGAGCAAATCACTAGTAAAAGCCAACAGTTATTTAATGGACCAAAAAGAAAATAATCATGTACATTCAGCAAATACAGTTATTTAATGGACCCAAAAAATACAGATTCTGATAAGACTATAAGACCCTTGATAGGACAGATACTAAATGAACACATACCTGAAGATAGTTTTGCCAAACTTCTTCACTTGCAGTAACAGTGTTTGTTTCTGCACTCCACCCAAATCCAGTGTGTTTCAGTAATAAAGTGAACTCACGATGCATACTCCGCAGTCGATTCACCTTTTGTTTTAGTTGCTTAACATTGAATGAACAATTGGTTACAGAATTCAACCTTGCAGTCATGGAAGTCCATGTTCTAGAGTGAAATACACCATTTGGCATATTTCCTTTTTGGACTTCTTCAACTAAAATGTCTATCAAAGCTTTAACTATTGGGTCAGTCCACATCTTTGAGTCAATATTAGCTTCCATCTATCATAAGTGAATATTACAGTAAGTAGACTAACTCAACTTAAATTCAAAGAAAATGGAGAAGTTTAACTCCAACAAGCACCACCGAGAAGTTTCTGTGCTTATGTTTGAGTTCAGACCAATTTTCAATCCTTTAAATCTACTTCCCTACTATCACTACCTTCCTTTAAATCAAAAGAATGAGTTTGAAACTAAACAAAATTACAATAACACCAGAACCAGAAGGAACTACATAATAATAACAACATGAAAAGTAAATTTAGCGAAATCAACCTCTGCGTTAGTGTAACTCAAAAGGAATAATATAATAATTAGCTGAATCGGCAACACAAACAGCAGAACAAGAACAAAATTATAACAATTCAAGTGCTAGATCTATGTGCATCGATTAAAGATGAAAAGCGATAAAGTTCAAATGTAAGATCTAACAAATTAAAGTAATAGGTGAAGTAATTGAGAAGAATAATTTGAGCATCTGCAATAACCTAAAAGTGAAGATGAAATGTGATGAAGTAAAGTGAAGATGAAAAGCGATGGATGAGAAGGAACTAACTTATGCCTCTTTCGGAAATTTAGCTAGTAACAAACTTGCTAAAAGGAGAGAGAACCGTATAAGGCGACGCCAGCGAGAACAGAGGCAGCGACGCCGGCGAGAGGATGAACTCCTCTACACCAGAAGCAAACTTGAAGAAGAAGAAACTGAAATGAGATGAGTTGCTCGATCAGATTAAAAAATCGGGAACAAAGGAATAGAAACAGCCGAAACTTGTTTTGCTTTTTTTGTATTTAAAAACAAAAAACTAAAAACAGTTTTTAAAACAAAAATTATAAAACCATTATCCAAGAAACTTTTTTTGTTTTAAAAATATTAAAATAGAAAAACAAATTTTAAAAACAGTAAACAAACGGGCCCTTAGTGATTGAATTTCCTATCTTTTTATCCTCGTGTATTTTTCAGATCAAAAAGTTAGATCCAGCTGGTAAAAGAGTTAGCACACTTGCAGGAACAGGGAAAGCTGGATTTAGGGATGGAACACCTGTAGCTGCTCAGGTTTATATTGCACTCCATATTATTTTCTTCCAAAATGTCAGAGTGTACATTCAATTATCAGCTTGATTATTCTTTTAAATAATTGAAGCAAGATGTTCTGCACTTGACTTTTATTCTGTTTTTACTGTAATGAATGCATTTTTTTATGACAATACCAATCATTTGAAAAACAGAGCTAGTCTCATGGAATAATGTAGTTAAGGTTGTGGGAGCTCTAGTAGATCAAGCACGATAATAAACAACAGGTTCATGAAAAGAAACAACCAATTCTCCTAGGTTTGGAATAACAGGTTTTCTTCTTTTAGCTTTTTCTCCTAGGCATGTGAAAGAGAAGAGATGTAGTCCTATTCTGTTTGTTGATAGTTATCATCTTCAAATTTGCAGCAGTTTACTTGCTTTCTGTACACTTTTTGTTCAGCTTTTTTTTTTTTGGCATCTTATTTTGTCTTATCCCTGTTAAGGTTGGGGGGGAAAAAGGTCTTGTTCATAGTGATTATGCGGTATACTGATTATCTGATATAAATCTTCCTCGTGCTGGGATGCTTGTGCTTTGTTAAATTAATTCTCCAATAATCCCATATCAGGATGAAACAGGCTTTTTTATATGCTTCATAAAAGTTCATGACCGTCCGAACAACCAAGTAAAAGGAAAATCTAGCTTGACAAATGTGTTATTGCTCACTTTATAGCTACAGATATATGTTAAAATGTTTGTCATTGTTCTTGCAGCTCTCCGAACCGTCTGGAATTGTTGAAGGGAATAATGGTATTTCTCTTTTTGCTGCAAATTCTTCATTGGTTTTTGTAGCTGAATGCATGTATGAGTTGTAAATGAACCCAATATTAATTCAAAACTTTTTCTCTCTTCATTGTTCTGGGCACAACAATGAGTAGAGTCCACATCTGGAATGCCAAATAGACTTGACTTCAAATCAGTAATTGTTCTCTGAATAATGACATGGCTTCTTACCACTTTGATGTGATGGTCTACGCCTTGCGTAATTTTATTTTCTTGTGCATTTGGCCTGTTTCTAATCTCATTTCAGAAACGCTTATAGTCTAGCCACTCTTATTTCATTGATGTTTAGGCATAAAATTATTTTATAATACGGCATAAAACCCCCTGTTTACAGTGCTGAACTTCCTCTTTTGATGGCTTTAGGCCTTACTTTCACCTCTATTCAATATTTAGCATACATGACCGAGCTGGAAGTTTCACAAAATGATAACTCTTTCAAGATTATCTAAGTTTCTAATAGTCTCCACAAGATCCAATGAATTTTCTTCTCACATTGTACTCAGCCTGTCCCTAATCTTATCTTGAAGATACTCTTAGTCCAGCCTTTCTGTTTTCATCAAACTTTAGACTTTTAATTGTACCGTATACTACAAAATTTTTCCTTCTATTCTATTGAATTTTTGGCCTGTCCTGCTCACTGTATTGTCCTTCTTCCTTGACGCATAGATTTGCTGTCACCTCAATTCAATTCTTTTCAGAAAGTTCATAGTTCATATGGCTAAGTGAAAGTTTTACCAAATGGTAACTATTCTAAACATCAACTTTAGGTAATTTCTGAAATACATTTGTCATGCTCTTCATAACTCAATTCCTAGCTTCTCTCTTTTAGGTGTTTTCCAGCTGTTTCTGAAATCCTTGTGAGATGGATTTTTCTTGCTAAATTAGTGATTTAGGAACATCTGATGTATGAGCTTTCCCCTTAATTACTCTATGACTATTGCACACCCACTTTTTTGTACCCTTGTGAGATGAACTCTCCAGAGCTACGAAAGTTGGATGCATGTGCTTTCGTCTTATACTCTTATGGCATGTGCATATCAACTTTTGGGTACATCTTGCTCATGAAAGAATTTTCAGGGTACGGCGTCAAATTATTTTCACTTAATGTTAAATTAATTTAATATGAGGGTAAGCTTGGAAGTATTTATTCTCGTCTTTCAGGGAGACTATTCATAGCTGATACAAACAACAGCTTAATCCGATATCTGGATTTAAACAACGAAAGTTTGGAACTCCATACCTTAGAGCTTAAAGGCTTTCAACCTCCTTCACCTAAATCCAGGGCTTTTAGACGTCTAAGGAGACGATCATCAGCAGACACAGTGACCATCGCCACCAATGGTGTTTCATCAAATGAAGGACGTTTGTCTATTCATGTATCATTACCAAATGAGTACCATTTCTCAAAGGTCCACATAATTCGCCTATCTTTGGAATGCTCTAGCATTTGACTGTGATTGATAGAATATTTACAGTTTTTCTTTTATAAATGAATTTATTATATCGTTTTAACTACTCCCCCGAACTCCATTGCCAGGAAGCACGTAGTAGATTTATTGTTGATATTGAACCTGAAGATGCCGTCAATATTGAACCCCAGGATGGCTTCCTTGATGAGGGATCTGCAGCTCTTCATTTCAAGAGATCATCTACTTCAGCTTCTGTGGGAAGAATTAATTGCAAGGTATGGCTTGTCATAGCACTCATGAGTTGGCTGTTTTCTGAAATAATTAAAGGCCTTCTTGTGACAAAATACCAGAATGAGCAATACAGTGTTGTTTATCTTGAATATCAATAAACGCTTTAGCAGATATTAATATGTCTGTGGGCTTTGGTTTTGTTGTGGCTGACTCTTGCTTTAATGGGTCAATACAGTGTCTTGTCAATGGATCAGGTTAAAAATCAAAATGTGTTGAAGCTATTCGAGGAAACGTAGCTTTTTCTTGTAGAACTGGATATACTTCAAGAAATCTATTTCTAAACAAAATAGAAATGCGATGGCGAGAATGTAAGTGCTACTATTTATGTAGTTTCTTAAAATATTTTTGTGTTCGCAGATTTACTATTGCAAGGAAGACGAGGTTTGTTTGTATCAGTCCTTAGAGTTTGAGGTGCCTTTCCGAGTGGCAGAACCTAACTCCGCCCCAGCAGATGTCAGTCTTTCGCATTTAGTGAAACCCAAAGCTTCGGCTAGTAGCTTACTACAGCCCGTTGCCCCTTGACTATTTTACCACGTTTTGCGGTACCCCTCCTTATCCTTTTCTCCTTTTTTTGCGTGCAACATATAATATTCAAGTGCTTGAGTTCGCTCATGATCCTTTTCCTAACTGTTTATAGTTTAACAAAATTAAGACTTGCCTGGTCGCTCCCCTGCGGCGGATATATGATGTCGTCTTCGCGTCTTCATCTTAAAAAAAAAAAAAAAAGTGTTAATAGTGTGCAATCATTATTAAGGCGGCGGTTTCGTGGATAAGCAAGGAATGAATTGACTAACAATCAAGGCAGATAATCGTGCGCTGTTATGCTATAGTCTATAAGACTATAACACTTCACAAGTATCACAAAAAGTTAAAGAGTAAAAATCGAAATTCCAAATTCAGGGAATTTGCATCTGACAACTAGATTCTTTTTATCAAAATTCAAACCGAGTAGAGAAGAATGTTCATACGTTGATAGACTAGAAATTTGGATCTAATAATAATGAATGCACGGAACTACACAAATTTGAGTGAACCCAATATATTGCGGAGGGAAGTACCTAAATCAACGCCAAGGAAAGGCAACTAACATAGTTGAGTGGCGATGCTTTCTCAATATTGAACTTCTTGACATAGTTGTTGAAACATTGGTCCCGGAACTTTGAGCAAAGCTTGCCAGGTTCATGATCTGTCAAATTGAACAAAAGGAAGAGTTTTTCCCCCTTTTCGCGAACAGGGCAATGGACAAAACCTTAAAGGGAAAAGGAAACTGAGAAAAGTTGGGTCGGAGCATTGCGCTCCTCACTAATTTCAGCATTAGAGGTCACTGCAGACAACTGGGGGAGTTTTAAAAAAAGAAAAGAAAAGAAAAGAAAATCTAGAAGAAGAAGAAGCCTTCATTCATATAATGGTCATGGTTAGCCTCTTGGTGCAAGTATTTTCCATCCTTAATTAAAATATGCTTGTAGGTGACTAGCTAGTTGTGCGTGATGGTGAGGCTTATGTCATTCTGGGTACTTCTTAAAG